CGAAGTCTGTACTCGGTATCTGCACACCAACGGAAAAGTGAAAAGCCTGCGTTCAAAGTGTTTAGAACCCCTGAAAAACAATGACTGTAGGAAGTCCCTGGGTAGCTAGAATAGCAGCACCCTAGGACCAACCTGATCAGTGTGGTTTTACTTTATCTACATCCAAGCTACACTTATTTTAAATGTCTTTATTGATTTCAGAGAGGGAGAGAAGAGAGAAACATCAATGATGCATCATTGATCAGCTGCCTCCTACACACCTCCTACTGGGAATCTAACAGGGCATGTACCCTGACCAGAACTGGGATCTCCTGGATCCACCAGGTTAGTATTTAATGTTTTAGTTCATTTATATTTTATTTATATTTTTACTTACTTTACCATAAAAGGTTTTGAGATGCTACTCATGTTTTCTAATATACATTAAAATAAATAGCTTGCTTTTTTTTTTAAGTGTTCATCCTTGAGATCTGCAGGATCTCCAGCCTGTGTGACCACACTTGGGAAAATGCTTCAGTTGGGTGTGGGAGAGAACCCTGGGGTTCAAGCCTCTCCATTGGCTGGGTGACCTGAATCTCCTTCTGCTACTCTTCCTGGAACCTCTCAGGACTGTACTGAGAATTGCAGGCATGTACAGCTTGGCAAGTAACCCTGTCTCAGTAAATGCAGTTCTTTCTCTCCATGAGACAGCTGCACTGTGGTCAGACCATTTGTGGTGTGTGTGCAGGGGGTGTCAGAACTTCAGACCAAAGAGAGGCAGGGTCTTGGGTGTCTCATTCTGGAGACCTGGGGAAGGAGAGTTCAGCTTGGCAACCACACATACCCTGTTGCCAGTGGGAGAGGACAGACTCCCATCCTCAGCTGCCCACCTGTGGAGACCTGCCCATCCTCCCCATCCTACCTGACCCTGGGCTGTCCACAGCTTCACCCCTCTACCACAGGACAAAGGGCTATCTTCAAAGAGGAGAAAAGAACTGAGATAAGGGGGGGAGGGAGGCTTCCTGTACCCAGGTTTACCCAAGTGGGAGGCCAAAGCCTTCCTCCCAGTCCTGGTTTAGTCCTACCCCACAGGAGTGTATACCTACAGATAGGTGCCAGGGGTCATGAGAAAAGAACTAGATTATAAGGAGAGCTGGAGGAGAGGGGTAAAGGACTCCTGTTTCTGTAGACAAGTCACTTCCCCTCTCAGGGCCTCCCTTCCCTATGTAGTAAATGGAACAATGAGTCATTTACTCAACAAGTACTTATTGAGTACAGACCATGTGCTGGACACAGCAGGGAGTAAGACAGTAAAGGTCTCTGCTCTCATGAAACATTCTGGATGGGGCGACAGACAATAAACAAACAAGTGAACAAGAAAACTTCTTAAATGCTGTAATGAAAATAAACAAGGCGCCTGGCGAGTGTGGTTGAGCGCTGTCCTGTGCACCAAGAGGTACCCAATTCGACTCCAGTCAGGCCACATATCTGGGTTTCAGGCTCGATCCCCAGTAGGGGGTTGCAGGAGGCAGCAGATCAATGTGTCTATCTCTCTCTCCCTCCCCCTTCCTCTCTCTCTAAAATCAATAAAAACATATATATACAAGAAAAACTACCAAAACATCAAAAGATCTCTCTCCTTCACTCTATTTCTTAAAAAAAAAAAAAGCAAGGCAATCAGACAGAATGTTGAAGTAAATGAGAGCCAAGTGCCTTTCCAGGCCACTGTTCTACTTCCGAGGTCATTTGCCAGTACTCTACCTAAAAGAGACCACAGAACTCTCCCTGAGGTGGCTGGTAGGAGTCTTTGCTCTGACTCTCACTCCAGGGCTGCCATTAATATCCTAAACTAGAAGAAATGTTTCCAATCCTCTGCCCCCAGCCCTGAAATCCTGGTCCCAGGCCCAATCCTAGCCCCACCCATTGGCCAAGAGTTGGCCTCACCCAGATTGTAGGCCCAGGCCCACTATGCAGATTGCTCAGAGTAGAAGGCATTTTACACAAATTTCAATTGATCAGTAGAAGATTTGGAAAAAAAAATCCTGGTTGTTTTTAAAATATCACTGTAAGTCTATGCATTTGTCAAAACTCAGCAAATGTATGCTTAAGATCTGAGCACTGTATATATAGATTTTGTCTGGGGGGGGAAACAAATTGCAAACAAATGAACTTTAGCTAATGAAATGCATTATGAAACATTTAGAAGTGTACTAATGACTGCAACTTACTTTGAAATGCATTAAAAATAAGACATTCGTAAGATGGATAAAAGGATGGATAGATAGATAGATATATGATAAATATTTTTAAATGTTAATGGTAGAATCCAGGGGGTGGGTGTATAGGTATTCACTGTAAAATTCTTTCAACTTAGTGCATGTTTGAAAGTTTTCGTGATAAAATGTTGGGGGGGGGGAATCAGTGTTTAATTTTACAAAAGGTACACATGGCTGCCTTCAATTTTCAAACAACTCTCCCCATGAACAATTCTAGTGCTTCCCTACATGCATACACTTTTTTGAAGTTGTAATCACTTTGTATATTATCATTATTCTCACATATTTCTAGACCTTCATGTGTTCAATGTTTAATGTTTGGATATGACTATGAGTAAATATGCTGCATGTTACTTTGGGGGCATAGGCTTTTTATTGTGTACATTCTAAAAGCACTGCCCAGGGCCCCCCTTTCAGAGGGTGGACTGGGTTATGTGGTACCAACTTCTTTTCATCGAGAACTAGGAAAGCTGGAGAAAACATTTTAAAAAGTTACTAAAGAGCTACCAGGGAGGTGAAGAATTGTGGGTGAAGAATTATGGGGCCAAGACTAGAGAGGAAAAAAGCTCAGAATGATGATCCATTCCTTTCCCTGGAGGTGTCTGCTGATTCTGAGAGAGAAATCTGCTAGGCCGTGCCAGATGGTGATTCCAAAAACTGGCCACATTTCCAGTTTTGCATTCTTCTAGAATCTTGCTACTCCCCTATCAAGAGGTAGAGTCAATTTCCCTTAGAAATTGGGTGGTGTAGGCCTATGTGACTGCCTGGACAAAGAATGTGGCAGATGTGACTCCCAAAGCTAGGTTAGGGAAGGCAGTACAGCTTTGCCTGGCTTTCTTGGGATGCTGCCCTTGGGATCCTGGCTGCTATGTTGTGAGGTATGTGTTCATACCTCACATGTTGTAGGTTGTATGTGTTCTGACAGCCCCAGCTAAGATTCCAGTCAGAAACCAGCTTCCACTGCCAGACTGTGAGTTACCAAGCCTTCAGATGATTCTAACCTTCAGCTATCAAGTCACCTTCAACCTTTGAGTCTTCCAGCTGTTGACCCAGGCACTGTAGAACAGACAAACCATCCCTGTCTTACCCTGTCCAAATTCCTGACCCATGTATTAAGTGGTAAGCATAAGAAATGGTTGTTTTACAGTTTGACTTATATCCCCTGGGAGGATTTCCACAAACTAACATTTACAAATCAGGTGGGGGAAGAAAAAGAAAAATATTACTAGGCCTCTCTCACTCTTTTTCAGCAGCTGGAAGCTTTGGTGAGGCCTGCCCTCTCTCTGGGTTTTGGTTTCCTCCTTTGTCTCCCTTCTAGACGAAGGGGTAACAAGAGAAAAAATGCCCTCAGTGTTGGGTTAGGGCACTGGGACGTGAAGCCAAGGTGTCTAGGAGTACAAACTGAAGGCTAGAGATAGGGTGACTAGAGGGCCAAAAAGTGCTCCTACTGACTGGGAATGAAACCTCCATTCGGGGCAGGGTGGAGCCAGGGTCCCCAGAGCGTAGTCCTCCCTCGGCGGAACTGCCAAGAGAATTCCATCTTTTCTCTTCAGCCCAGAGACCACTCAGGAAGTGCTCACCACTGTTCAGTGGGCAAGGTTTCCAAAGGCTCCTCCTCCAGCCCCTGCAATCTGCTGTCCACATGTCTCTCATTAGTCCTCCAATTCTCACTGCGGTGCACATCCAGGCCTTGCTCAGGTTCCCCTGCTCACAAAGGGCCTAATTGCAGTTCAAGCCCTGAATCATCCCTCCTCTCTTACCACAACATCCAAAGAGAAGCTCTAAGATTCCCAAACGTCCAACATGGTTTCAAATCCATTTTGCCACATATTTGCTGTTACCAAACCTCCCCGGACCTCAAATTCCTCTTCTATAAAATGGGGTTATGTTACTTATCTCTCCTTTTTAAATTTAAAAAAAACACACGNAAGCTCTAAGATTCCCAAACGTCCAACATGGTTTCAAATCCATTTTGCCACATATTTGCTGTTACCAAACCTCCCCGGACCTCAAATTCCTCTTCTATAAAATGGGGTTATGTTACTTATCTCTCCTTTTTAAATTAAAAAAAAACACACGTATCTTTATTGATTTCAGAGAGAGGAAGGGAGAGAGAGAGTTGAAACATCAATGATAAGAGAGTGGTCACTGATCAGCTGCCTCCTGCACGCCCCCTACTGGGGATCGAGCCCACAACCCGGGCATGTGCCCTGACCGGGAGTCAAACTGTGATCTCCTGGATCCTAGGTCGATGCTCAACCACTGAGCCATGCCCGGCCAGGCTTAATTTTTAATTTAATTTTATTTTCAAACTATAAGAGAATATTTATTTATAAAATCACAAAGGGAGAAGTAATTCATAAAAGAAATGGGCTTAGGAAACAAGTTATAGAGGCAAAGGGAGGGCCTTTGTTACTTCTCTCACAGGGCTGTTACATGGAATAAATGAAATAATGGTCAAGTGTTTAGTATGGTTCTTGTGTAAGTGTGTACAATGCTTTTCAGTATGGTTCTTGATGAGTTGTTGCTTAAGTTTTGTGCCATCTCTCCCCATAATCTTTCTAGGGGCTGGGACTTTGAGAGGGCTTTCCCTGGTAACCATACAAAGGGGCAGGTATCTTATAAATGTACCTGGAGAAGCTCCTTTTCCAGACCCAACACAAACATGGAGTTTTGCTGAGGTGTCTATATGGTTCTGCCTCTAGCCTGCTTTTGCTTAGCTGGGACTGCATAAGACAAGCACTCTAAAATGTTCCAACTTTATTTACAACCAGATTCCTGGCTCCTTTCACACCCAGCTCCTCAGCTTAACTCTGGGGGAGGAGCTGAATGAGCAGACACTTCTGCCAAGCCCAGGACTCAAGGAGACATGCAGGGTAGGCCCCTCACTTCTTCTGGGCTTGTGTCCTGGCCCGTTGAATCTTGTCTGCCGTGGGCCCATCTGTAGCTCCAGTGCAGTGGGACAATACAAGGCTCAGCTCTGCCTCATTCCGGCGCTCAATGGCCACGTCTGCAGCCTGAGCCACATCTCTGTGGTTTGAGCAGGAGGGAAGATGGTGTTGGGCTGACCAAGGACACAAACCATTGCCCCTTATCAGTCCACTGGCTCAGCCACCTAGCACCCACAGGGCTCTCAGCCAACGTACCCAACGAGAAGCAAGGCCTTGACCTTCTGTTCGGGACCCACACGAGAGGCGTATTTCTTGGCCTCATATTTGTTATGTTGCTTCATGCAGATCTCCACAAAGGGCTTAGAGAAGAAGGGGATGGAGAGAGAAGATAAGACAGAGCCCTCTTGTCATCTCTCTTATGAAAAAAAGCCCATTAGACACATCTTTCCTGTATAATTTATATACCCTTCAATATCGATAATTCCCCCACTCCTGCCCCAACACACACCTGCAACAGGTGTGATCTCAACATTCTCAGGGCAGAAACAACCTAAACCGAAGACCTGTTAGAGCCTTGAGACCAATTATTTCCATGCATCCACTCCACCATCTATTGCTACCCTCTTACAGCAGGCATTTCCTGTCCTCTCAGGGCCTGTGCTTTCTCTCATGGCTGCTCCACCTACCCACCACACCTCTGAACTGCCTGCCACAGAAAACAAATCCCCTAAATATACTCCACTGCCTGGCAGATGTGCTTTCCCTGTCCCCCTCCCTCTCCTCCCTCCACTCAAAGAGGACTTTTACTTGGCATCTGCAGGCTGACTTGGGCCCATTCTCTCATGTACTTGGCCCATGAACACGTGTACAGAGGAAGCACCCACTAATTATTTTGGCTAGCTGAATACATGCATCAATAAGTCATCAGCCTATCTCTAGGCCTGGTCCTCTCCCCAGGACTACCCTCCCTGGTGGGAGGTAGAGGGAGGGCCCCTGCCTCACCAGGTAGCCAATGGGTGATTTCTTGCTCTTAGAAAACTTCTCTAGCTCCTCCCAGTCTTCCAGATCTGCCAGGGCAGTCAACTTCAGCCACCAGAGCCTGTAGGGAAGTTAGGCTTGGAGGTGCTACTGGAGGGGGAGGGATCCCAGGACCTACTCACAGCCTGAGCCTACCTCTTATCAGGGATGCGAAAGTCACGTGCCAGCTGCTCTGCACGCTTGTTGTGGCCACTGAGAATGAGGGTGGTGACTGTGTCATGTAGAGACAGGTCTAGGAACTGACCCCCCAGCTCATCTTCTAGGCGTCTCTGTAGCCGTAGGAGCCGCATTTGATCCTCTGTGGCCTAGGGACAGGAATAAGGCAGGATGGGGATGACAGGGAAAGGAGAGAAGACTGGGAGAGGAAGCAAGGAGGTTCTTAGAAAAGAGAAGACCAAACCTTGGCTGCAAACTCATTCTTGGCCTTGTAGAAGGCGTCGGCTGCTGTCTGCAGAGCTGCGACCCGCCCTTCGATACGCTGTAAGAGCAAGAAGGGAAGCCTGAGCTCATAGCTCAAGGGACCTCAGCCCTCCCCACCCAGGCTACAGTTTTCTCCCTGATCCCTGTGCCAAGGGTCACCAGGGCCAGCCTTACCCGTTGGGTGAACCAATCTGGTGTCCCTAGTGGGAAGGCTAGCTCCTCTGGGACCAACACTTATCCTGACCTCATGTCTTCTCACTCTCCCTCAACAGTGAGAACCAGATTGGGTGTGTACCAAATATGAGGTCTAGATACCCGGTGAAGTAACCAGACCAACAGCCCAGCCCACAGGCCCCACCCACTCTGTGGGCCTCAGACCTCCTCTGCAGCGTAGCTAGCTCGGATGTGGAAGCTGCCCAGCTCCTGGTGGTTGTCATCCTGATTGTAAAGGTCCTTCAGCGTCTCTAGCTCCTGATGCTTACAGAACTGGAGTCAAGGTAGGCAATCAGTCAGTAAGGACAACTCAGGGGCTCAGGAAGCTCCAGTCCTACTGCAGCCCACTACACATACCTGTCGGTACAAGCTGAGGGCCATCGGCTGGTTCCGAAGGGTCATGAAAAAATCTCCTCGGTTCAGCTCGTTCTTCAGGTGCAGCAATACGGTGAATACTATGGGACAATAGGTAGGATGAAGACTCCAGCCCGCCCCCTTGCTCAGCCCAGGGGCCCTGGCCTTGGCCTCACCCAAACCTTGCTCACCCAAGTCCGTGTCCCCACTCTCGATGGCCTTGTTCAGGGCCAGTTTGCTCCTCTTCATTTTTAGGAGAAGAGGTACCTGCTCCCCAGAGCGTGGTTCATACTCCAGCAGCTATGGGGTGGGGAGGAAGACACAGAAAAAATGAGCTGGCCTGGGGACCTCAACTGCCCATGTCAGAGTGTCTGGAAAGGGCTAGGCACCCACACCTTGATGGCCAGCTCTGTGCGACCACAGCCATAGGCCCGTGCAGCAATGTCAGAGTAGGAGACACCAGGCGTGTCCCCCAGCTTCTGATTAATGGCCCGAGCAACATCCTCGTCGGACACGTCCTTCTGTTGTACCTGCAGAGTGAAGGAGTGTCATATATACCTGGATTTCACCCCTAACCCCACCAGCCTTCGATCAGGACTTCAGCCCTACACATCCTATTTCCTACATCTCACCAGGGTCTGAAAGTGCCTAAATGCTCCTGGACCCTGTCCTATATCCTCACCTTGTAGCAGGCCCAGTGGGCCAGGATCCTGCTGACACCCTGCACTTCAGGAAGGCGCAGGTACTCGCATATCTGGATGGCCAGGGGGTAAAGCCTCCGTAACACAAGCCTGACAGGCAAGGGGTAACGGGTACAGGGGTGAGGTGGGTTAGAAAGAGAGGGCAGAGTGGTCACTGTCTATAACTTTGGACTCCCAGATCCCAAAGAAATGGGTCAGGAGCACTGACCACAAGAAACCACCAGGGGCTGTAATGCCTGCCCACTTAGAGCCCTCCTCCCACACCCTTGGGCATGCTGTACCTGTCTAACAGCACCTGGATGGTGAGCTGCTTGTATCTGCATTTTACTTGGTTAAGGATCCAATTGGTGAATAAGTATTATTTGCCAAGGACCTTCAGACAGCATCTCTAAGCTCCTTTCCCTTCCCCTGCCACCCCTGGCTGTGAACACCCTTCTAATATACTTGGGGATACTGGCTATAGGTGAGGGGGATCCCAATGTGATAGTCCCGAATGGCATTCAGCACACGCAGGTCCTGACACATGCGCACGAAGCTGTCAGGTGGAAATCTATCGAGGAAACACTTTCCAAAGGAGGCAGCCTGAAAAGAGCCAGAGGGCAACAGAGGAGAGCTCCCCTCACTGCCAGCCCAACCCCGCCCAGTGCCCCTCCCACCAGCCATGTAGCCCAAGCCAACCCTGAGCAGACTCTTCTGCATGTCTGGCCGGTGCTCATGTCCCGCAGCCTCAATGCACTGCTGCACAGCCTGGGTCAGTTGCCCCAGCTCCTGGATCTCCCGCAGGTACTCATCTGCCTTCTGGCTCTCTTTCTGGGGAAAGGGGGGATGCCAGGGACACAGCATCATGAAGGAGAATACCCACATATCTGGCCCCCAGTCCCTCTGGGATGTGATTCAAATGAGCAGCAGAGGCTGGAACCCAAACCACCTCAGCCCACTCAGTCCACCCTAGGTGTTCACATATTCCTCACAATTTCCTGTGAGAGGCCCTGAGACCTCTTGATAGTAGCCCTGACTTGTGGCTGGGCTGGGGATAGTGGGGGCTCCCTGCCCCTTGCTAACACCACATGGAGGACCCCATGTCACTAAGGTCCTCCTGAGCTGGCCCTCTCCAGCCCAGCCTAGTGTCCTGCCTGTATCCCTCTCTTCATAGGTGGTACCTGGCTGTGTCCACCCATATCCAGGCAGAGGCAGGGGCAGGGGCAGGGGCAGGGG